TATGTATATAAAACAATATATGGACACACACACATACAACATTGTAAAGACAACTTTGAAAGAAATGACCAACCATGATTCCCAAGGACCCATGATGAAACATGGTGTCCCTACTTCTCCGCAGAAAGGTGGTAAGTTACAGACTGAGACATTTTTTTGGGAAATGGCCAATATCAAAATTTGTTTTGTCTTTCTTTGCATGTTATAATAGTTTTGTTTTCAGTTTTGTTTTTTTGTTTTTTTTTTCCCAATGAGGGAAAGTAGGAGAGAGAAAAAAAGATTTTTGTTCATTAAAAATAAATTAAATTTTTCAAAAAGATGGATTGGAATAAGGAGAGACTTGAGATAGGCAGATCAATTAAAAGCTTTTGTAATAGTTCAGGTACAAGGTAATGAGAATTTGAACTAGGGTGGTGGCTGTGTGAATGGAAAAAAGGAGACATATAGGATATGGGATATGAGTTTTGTTTTTTTTTTTTTTTTTTGCTTCAGTCATGTTCTACTCTTCATGACACCATTTGGGGTTTTCTTGGCAAAGATATTGGAGTGGTTTGCCATTTCCTTCTCCAGCTCATTTTACAGATGAAGAAATTAAGGCAAACAGCATTAAGTGCCTTGCCCAGAGTCACACAGCTAGTAAGTGTCTGAGGCTGGATTTGAACTTAGGTCTTCCTGACTCCAGACCTGGAACAGTATCCACTGTACTACCTAGCTGCCTCCATGAGTTCTTATGAGGGTAGAAATGATAAGATTTGTCAACAGATTGGGTATGTGGGATGAGGTTATAAATCTGGGTGACTACTAGGAGGATTGTGGAACTACTCACCATATCTGGGAATTATCTTTGTAGAGATGGTCATTGAACTCATAAGAACTAGTACATTCACTAAGTGAGATAGTATAAAGGAAAAAAAGAGGGGTCCCAAGATAGAGCCTTGGGGGACGCTTATCATGAGCATAACATGGAGAACTAACAAAAGAGCCTGAGGAACATATCATTAGGAGAACCTGGAGAGAGAAGTGTCACAAAAACCTAGAAAGGAGAAAGTATCCAGAAAGAGAAAAATGATGGACAGTATCAAATACAGCATAGGTCAAGGAACATCATAATCGAGTAAAGGCCATTAGATTTGGCAAGAGGTCCTTGGTAACTTTGGAGAAGAGTTTCGGTTGCTTGAGATTTGAAGCCAGATTGCGGAGGATTTAGAAGAAAGTGAGGAGAGTAAGTGGAGGCATCCAGTGTAGAATGTAGGAAAAAGATATAGAATGATAGCTAGTGGGAATGGTCATCAAATAAAGGATTCTCCAGAATTGAGGAGAGTTGGTCCCATTTGTAGGTAACAAATAGGGAGAGATTAAAGATTAGAGAGAGAATAGGGATGATAGTGAGGGCAAGTATTCTTGGGGAGGTGATTAGATTAAAAGTGAATGTAGAGCGATTTTTGCTTTGGGTAAGAGAAGGCCTAGGGCTATTCATCTGAGACCAGAATGAAAGATGTAGTCTGAGTGAAATAAGGAGGAGGGGAGAAAGAGCTTTTAGCATATGATCTGAATTTTTTCAATTAAATTATGAGGTAAGATCCTTAGCTGAGAGGGTGGAGGGAGCAGATGCTATGTAGCAGCCACTGTGGAGTGGTATAGCAGATCAGTTAGGGAGAAATAGAAAGTTTTCCTTTTAGTGAGGGCCCAGTTGAGATGAATTAACATAAATTTGTAGTGGGCCCACTAGGTAGATGATCTCTTATGATTTCATCTTAGTTTTAGGTTCTATGATCTGACAAGCACTAGGGATGTCAAGTCCATTATTTGCTTCTTTGCATTTGTTTTGACAGCACTTTCTCAAAATCTCTTCATCTACTCACATCTCAACCTCAGGAATCTATAATGTATAGATAAGATTTTAAATGAATGTTAGTAAATTGTTGGGTATATTTAAACTACATAATCTAAAACACAAAAGCAGTAAGTACATAGTCATCTCATGTTACCAATAGCAGAGTTATGAAATGCTACCATGGAAACATAACCAGAATTACTTGAGACCACACTCAAGAAGCTTAACTGTTCTCTAGCAGTACATTTTCAATATTGATTTTCCTACTTTTATATTTTAAGAGCTCATTTCATAGTGATCAAAACAACTATAATCTTCCCACTAAACAATGTGGAATGCAATTTTGAACTTATTTTCTAAGAGTCATAAGAGCTATGCCAAAATAGAACATTATGTAGATAATTTTTTTTAAAAAAAAAACTTGATAATTTATTGGTGATTAAATTATTATGCTTTTTTTCACCTAACAACCATGGTTCTTATGGGTTAGAATTTATCCTAATCTAAAACTGAGCAGGGATCTAGCAAGCAATAGCACTAGTTTCTATAATTTGATACTATGATTTCAGAAGCACCAAATTATTTGTACTTTAACTTAAAATTTTATATTCCTGTCATCCACATTTCAGTCACCCAAACACATAATTAGTCCTTACTGATGAGATTTTTTTTAAAGTAGTTGATATTTTTCCTTAAGTACTAAAGTATATATATTTTTAAATTTGATATCTTTTCCTGTATTTTCTACTCTATTGTTCCTCCACCTCCTATTAGAGAGACATCCCTAATAATAAAGTAGCAAGGAAGAAAGGAAAATTCCAAAAAACAAAACAACTTATCCAAAAATGTTCCATGCAATATCCCACAACCTTCATTCTCCTGTTTCTGCAAAGGAGCTAGGTGATGTGTCTGTCCTCTTCTACCTTTTTTGAGGCCAAGCTTGGTTATTATAATTCTGTATCATTATTTGGATTATTTTGTTGTTTTTCTTTTTGTGTACGTTGTTATATACATCCAATCAATCAATAAACATTTGTTACGCTATGACACTATATGTCAGGCATGTGCTAAATGTTTCACTATATATGTCTTTCCATGCTTCATGTTCATTGATCACACATTTATCATGTTTAGCATTTCTTACGGTTCAATAATGTTTCTTTTTTTAAAACGCCATTTTTTTCCATGAATTCAACCTTGTTGTCATACTTTGTAAGGTAATAACTGCCTGTTCTTTAATCATTGGATGATATAGACTCAAGAGATTGACATCAGTTGATTCATAAGGGATAAGAAGAATGAGAGAAGGGGAGAGATAGGGAAAGGGTAGGGGGAGAGTACTTCATGTACATCAGTTTGTTTAGCCATTTCTTAAGCAATGTCTATCTCCTTTGTTTCCAGTTCTTTACTCTCACAAAAAGTGCTACTACAGATATTTTGGTGTATATGGGATCTTTCTGTCATTGACTCCCTTGGGATTTACAGCTAGTAGTAAAATTTCAGAGTCAAAGGGCCTAAATGTTTGAGTCATTATCTTTGCATAATTCCAGATTGCTTTCCAGGATGGTTGTGCCAATTTACTAATCCATCAACAATCTATTAGTGTTCCTGTCTTGCCACAACCCCTTGGTTAATGCACTTTTAAGATGCTGCCTTTTCATATGTATCACTTTGTTGCAGAGTTAAATCTATTCAGAGTTCTAATGAAACAGTTACTGTAAATTGTGAGATAGTTTTTGCTTTATTTTGGTTGTGACAACCTATAGTTAACTAGAGCAATGTGGCACCAGCCAGCACTGTTCTTTGATTGTAGGACAAAGTTAATTTATCTGCTTGTCGGCCAAAATGAGAATTTGTTTACTCACTATATGTTAAAGTGGTGTTAGGGTCTGAGTATATCTGAAGTGGCTTTGAATACAGGACTGGACGATGTATAGACTGTAATCTTAGATTTAATCTAGCTAGTTTGAAGAGATTTATCTGCAGGTTGATTTTGGAGTGATGGATTTTTTTAAACCAAAATAATTTTCTACCATGGAAAAGAATGGTTGTGATATGCACTGCTAGAAAGAGTACCCATGCCAATAAAATCCCAGATCCCTGAGGAATTGAAGTAATATATTAGATCATTTGAAAATAGAGTATGAAATAGTGTATTGTTTCAGGTTTAGCCTTCTTATTTTTGATCATAATTGTTTTTTCTAGAAATTATAGCTAGAAAGATTTTTCCAGTATGCAAATAAGATAATAATAGTTTCTCCACCTACTCCCTCCATCCCCAAACAAACCTTTTGGTTAGTGATATTTTTATTTTGATTTTCTAATCTTATTAGTAATATATAATTTAACATTACTTGCCAGGTTTCTTTGTGTAGGTAATGTTCTTATAATGTTCTGACTCAGCAGTGTAAGGATTATAAATTGCTTTAACTCTCCATCTAATTGTTTTCTTACCACCACCCCCCCCCTCAGTTTCCTGCTATCTTGTGCTATAAATCCAATTTTATTAATCCTCTTTAAAGGGCATTTATTTTAGCAAAAAAAGCTACCTGATTTGATTGCTATAATCTTCACATATTTTGCAGAGTTTATGTATTTCAGTTAGCAAACGAGTAAAACTCGGAATTGAGCCTATGATCTGTCGTTTTCTATGAAAGACTATCTTGCCTACTTAGGCTGCTGTAGCTAGCAGTGCTTTCTTCTTGGTTTGAGCTCATGATGCTTATTGTTGATACTATTTGTTTAGCAGTTAATTATGTTTTGACATCCTTTGTCAAATGAAGCCAAATATTTCCTGACCCTAAGACTTGGCATGCTTGTCCACCAAGTATGCAGAGACATTGCCATATGTCATCTGTATTTTTGATACACAATTTCACCTTTAATAGTTTGAGAGGAAGATACAACACTAGCATTGCACAGAAAACATCTTGGAAAATACTGGTCTAAATTGTCTTCCCAGGTAGGTTTTTCACCTTCTTAAGGGAGCAGCAGGACATGGTGTTGTTACATATTCTCTCCCCCATCCCTATGGTCTTTCATTTCCTACCCTCTTCCTTCTCTGTAAGTTCATAAAGACTGGAATAAAGAAATTTAATTCTGGTTATCTGTGTACTCTAAAAGCTTTTTTACAAAAGCATTAATCCTGTTGGTTCTTTACTGCTAGGTGAATGGAAAAGGTTCCTTATGGTGTGTTGATCCAGAATATAAACCCAATCTTATACAAGCACTGAAGAAGCAGCCTTTTTCCTCAGCACTTGCATTTTACACCCCTCCTGCCTCACCGCAAAAGTAAGGGTTTATTCAGTTACAAATAATTAGTGGTTTAAGTTTTTTGTTTGGGATTTCTGAAATGGAGAAATGGCAGAATTTTCATTTAAAGAAGAATTTAGCATGAGAGAGTGATCTACACTTTGTTTTTGCTTTGGGATTATTTCATTTGTGCCTTTGAGAAATAAGTAATCATTTAAAATTTTCTTTTAAACAAATGTTTCCAAGGCCTAAGAATATGGTAGGAACATACATTTTCAGTTTGGGGGGAGGGAATAGCATTTTTTTTTTGTCATTTTAAGTTTGTATATTCAGCTTTGAATTAGTGAAATCTCACAATTTCTGTTTTCAGAGTTCCTTTGCTCCACATTGAATTCACAAAAATAATCACTGAAGTGCTAAAGAAATTTGCCAAATAAAGTAAAATTTTACTGAGCTTTTATTTATTTATCAATAAGATGTTTGTGGTTCTTCTAACCTTTGTCTTTGGATACAATTTCTCCTATTGACCCCCTATATTTGTCATCCTAATCCCGATCTTAAATGTATTATATCTTTGAAGTGGAATTTGTTTCATTTGTCCAAAGAAGCATTCTGTAGCCCTTTTGGATTTGTTGAGCTAGGTGCAACAATTATTTTATTTATATCAAGTAGAAGTCTGTGCCGCTATTGCAACAAATTTGCAGAAGTGTGGAACACACTTATACAACAGAGTTTATTTTTAATGTTTCTAGATTGCATTAAAAATTTTGTTCATTGAGAATTTAAAGCTTCAGCTGAGAGTTTAAAAAAAAAATTTATCCAACCACAATGGCAGGGGTTGGGGGGGAATATATTTGGACAGATACTATAAAAAGCCAAATTGATATGTCTGCAACGAAACTACTAAATATTTTTAGCTTTCCATTGAACTGTTATTAGATTGGAAGAATGCATTTCAATAAGATCTAGCTCTAGTTAATACAATTTAAATAAAATCTAGCAGTTTTTACAGTTATCTTTCCTAGATTAAAGGAAATAATCAGTTAATGATACTTATTAACAATCCTAAAGAATTGGTTGTACAGTAAATGTTGAAAATGATGATGGACGTTAGGGTTTTAAATTTATTTAAATAATTTCCAAAACATGGATAATTAAGAATTGACAATGTTTCCAGAAACCCCACATATAACACATTTAAAGTACCATGTTTTTTATGTTTCTACTTCAATATTTATTATTTTATTAATGGTTTTTGTTTTGTTTTGTTTTTGACTTCCCATATGTTCAGGGATTCACTGAGCCCACTGGAATTTTAGAATTTTTGCCCTGTCTAAAAAACAAATTATAACAGTCACAATAAAGGATGCCTATTTTGATATAATGTTATCCATTTTTTTGTTGATGCATTTTGCTTTTAATACTACTGTCATTTTCCAAGTACTACTCATGCCCCCAGTAAATAAAAGCAGTTGGGCAGATCTCACAAAATGACTGCATCTGGCAATGTAGATAATATTCTGAACCTTCTCTCTTCCCTTCTCTCCTTCCTTCCCTTCCTAGATTAGGGAGGTAGGTTTTGTCTTGTGATCTCTAAGTTGAGATTGGTTACAGCAATTGATCTAAGTCTGACTGCCTTTTAGAAGGGTTGTTTATTTTAGTCATTGTGTGTGCAGCTCACTTGGTTCTACTTATTTCGTTGTACATTAACAACTTTATCTTGAGTTAAAATTCTCCCCATTTAGAATAATAAGATGTAGAAAAAAGCTTAGAGATATTCTCCTATAGTTTACTCATCTTACAGATGACAAAACTAAGTTCAGAGAGTTGAAGTAACCAGCACACAGCCTGGTATAGTGGCAGACTACTCTCCTGTTTTTGGTGACTTTATTTCAGAAATACATTTTTGAACTGAGTGATCTCCCTTTGAACTCCTAAAATCCTACCACATTTATTTTTTGCCACCTCCTTTATCACTATTACTATATCACCACCAGAGGTTCCCAAATTTATTTGGCCTACCTCCCCCTTTTGAAAAAAAATTACTCAGTGTGCCCCCCCCCGGGTTAGGTTAGGTTAACCCTTATTTTTATTCAATGCCCCCCAATTGCACCCAAGGTTTCTACTGCCCTGAGCCCCTCTTGCTGGATTGTTCCAGCACCCCCAGCAGCCCATTTGGGAACCTATGAATTCTAGACCATTACCACCAAGTTCACCATAACTGTTACCACCACAGTATTTTACTACTGTCAGCACAGGATCATGGGACTAGGAAGCTAGAAGCCATGAAGTCCAACTTAGAATTCCCCATGTGAGACTTGGCACTGTGGAATCAAAGGACCTGGGCTTGAATCCTGGCTCTCCTACTTACTTACTACTTCTGTATGACCTCGAGCAAGTCACTTCACCAATCTGGGCTTTGATTTCCTCATCTATAAAAAGAAGAGATGAGACTAGGTGATCTACAGCCCCTTTCTGCTCTGATGATGCATACATAGATCCTCTTGTGATGTAAAGTTGTAGTTCAAAAGTCTGAAGGAAAAGACTTAATGTATATAAAACATGAAGAATAAACTAACAACATATGGTTATTAAAAAGCTGGACAATTTATCTGACAAAGCATGCATTTATTCTAACATAGATATCACAGTACAGAAGTAGTTATTTTTGTCTAGTTTCTAGATTCTTGTGATTACTTTAAATTTTTAAATGTTGGTGCTTAATTTCATCTACTAAAAATAAGTATTTATTAGTGAATACAAGTGAGTATAAGAACAATGTTTACAATCTTTATTAATATAAATGCTTTTTTTAAGTGCTCACAATGTGTAGATAAGCTTAATTGGTTGTCAGTAGAAATGAGTCTGCATCAAGCAAACTTTTTTAACCCTGTAAATTATTGAAACTTTTGTCTCTATGGTAACACATTCATCACTTAAGCATTGAGGCTTTCCTCAATTTCTCCAGTACCAAACTGGACTGAATGTCATCTCAGGAAACAATAGGGACAATACAAAATTTTTTCTTATTGTTGTAATGGGCGGTGCTGTAGGGAGAAAACTCAGATAGCAAGGCCCAGACCTGTGATTTCTCTGTGTTGGGAATCCCTATTAGGAAAACTCGTTCCACCAGTGTAAATCAGAAACTGTTCTGAATCTTATAACCTCAGAGAGTTAACTGGAGTTCTGAGACATTGCCCAGGGTCACACAGCCAATATGGGTCAGAAATGGGCTTTAAACCTGGATGTACCTGACCAAGGGCAGCCCCGCATCTATTACACTGCTCTACTCTCCAACAAATAAATATGCTAGCTAATAAAAAAAAAAGTTGACTGTTAAAAAGAAATATAAATAAAACTTTTGTTGTGATTTTTTTTTTAGTGGGTCATCATCACCTCATTATATAACCTCTGTACTAAAGCAGAGCCAGGTTCGAACTCTCAAAGGTATGTATAAAAATTTGTTATAAATTATTTTTTAAAAAAATCTGAAAACGTGCTATTAATTCCTATAGAATCTAATTTCTCAATAATACCATCATGGATTTTCTTTCAGTTTCTGTTGTTTAGATCCATAGCTCAGTTTTTTGTCCCAGTTCCTCAACATGTTCTTACCAGGTTAGTTCGTAAAAAAGATGACTGAGCACCAGCTGTGTGCAAGGAATGGTGTCAAGGGTTCAACATTGGTGTGTGTGGCCAGTACCTCCAAGAGCTCTTATTTCATCTGCCATTTAATTTGAGGAGAGTCATTTTCACAGATTTTTCCTATCGACCATCAGGCACAACTCTTCAGTAGACTTAATCATGTTTTCCTCTTTTTGGGGGGCTGTACATCAATTTATCTCTTCTACCTCCTCTATTCTTCCCCCTTCCCCCCCCAAAAAAAACCCTAGTAGTACTATTACCTTCCCTCTGCATACTGCCCTCTAGTACTCCCCTAGTGGAGCTAATGGATGGGGGCTGTGTTTTCATTTTATGCCTTTATATTTACCAGCTTCGTGGAACTGTTTTCCATGGTAATAACTGTATTTTCCCCCACCAATAAGCATGAGAAAAGTCTAGACCTAGAACAAGGAGTTGATTCTTTCTGTTTTAGGGTAGCCAACTTTCATTTGTGAGAATAGACTTAACAGAAAATATGATTATCTAGAAACCTGGGAAACCACTGAGTTTGAATACAAGTTGAATCTCCCCCCCGCCCCCCCCAAACTTAGAGAAATACATTGGGGCAGCTAGGTGGTGTAGTGGGTAAAGCACCAGACTTGGAGTCAGGGATATCTTAGGTCAAATCCAGACTCAGACACTTAGTAGCTGTGTGACTCTGAACAAATCACTTAATCTCTGTTTGCCTCAGTTTCCTTATCTGTAAAATGAGGATAATAACAGCACCTACCTCCCAGGAATGTTGTGAGGATGAAATAAGATAATAATTGCAAAGTGCTTAAAACATAATAAGCACTATATGTAAGCATTATTATTATTATTAGAATATTTCTATCACAGTATACCAGTTTGCAAGATTCAGAGGAATTATATGCTAAGTAAGCAAGAGAACAAAATGAATTGGGTGTATTTTTTTATTGGATTTTTGTCTTGTTTGATGAGTTTAGAGAGTAGTGTTATCATCATAGATCTACAGTCTGAAGACTTAGATTCAAATCTTTGCTCTGATGCTTACTACCTAAGGGACCTTGGGCAAATCATTTAACCTACCTGGGCCTTAGGTTCCTCATCTATAAAATGAGGGGATTGGATTAAATAGCTCCTAAGGTTCCTTCCAGTTCTAAATGTATGATCTTAGGAACATATGTTTATATATTTAATTTAAGATGAAGTCTAGTTCTGAGATGTAACAACTGTGGCTAAGAATTTATGGTCAGGTTAAGGACTGTATTAATCAAGTTTTAAAAAAAAAAATTGGGGCAGCTAGGTAGCATAGTGAATAGAGCACTGGCCCTGAAGTCTGGAGGACCTGAGTTCAAATCTGGCCTCAGACCAAACACTTGACACTTACTAGCTGTGTGATCCTGGGCAAGTCACTTAACCCTAATTGTCTAAAAAAAAAAAATCAAAGAGGCTATATAGTACTAACAATTATTTGAAATAACACTCATACCACTTTAAATTTTTCTGGGCCAATAATTCCAGTAGGGGATATATCTTTTCCATTAAGATTCTCTAATATATGTGTTTTGAGAGACTACAGGGCCTTTTCTATTTAAAATTGAAGAATTACCCATTGGAACTTCAGCTCCCCTCCTTATCATTCCTTAACCTGATTAAATAAGAAACAGACATCAAAAAGTTACCAGGATGTCATGTAAGATTCACCATTAGAAGATTGACAAGGGGTCTTTGAGGATTTCTAGTCTTATTGTAAAATTGCTGGCATTTTATCACCATTTAAGCTGTGTACCAAGTACAGACTATATAGATCATTTATTAAGTACTTGTCATGTGCCTAGCTCTGTGCTAAGTGCTAGGGATACAACAAATACAAAAACAAGGAAGTAAGAGTTCTTGCCCTCAGTGGGGCTAATAGGGAAAAGACAACACCAAAAGGGGAGCTGGAAAGTAGAGATCTGAGGTAGACATTACCTACAATGGAGCATAACTAGTGGACTTTGGGAAGTTGCATAGAGGCCTGATTCCTGATAAGGCAAAAAGCTCAACTGTTAGAGTCAGGATGGCTAGGCATGGAATCCATGTTTCTGGGAAGGCAAGGAGGATCAGAGAGAAGGGTGAGATTAAAGATACTGCCCTGTTTAGGCCAGTGGATGTGGACCTTCTGTTCTGCTTATAGTTCAGTTATTCCTACAGCATCTAAAATTTTTTAAATTGATAGGACCACAAAGCTTTTTATATCCCTTTCTGCCAGTAAACTTCACTTAGATTAAGGAAACAAATACATACAAGCAAACATTGCACCAAGCTTTATGCTAGTTCATTTTTTAGTGAGATCCTAATCACTAGGCACTGTGATTGTTAAAAAGAAGAAAGAATAATATTAGTCAATTTTTTTTTAAAATCAGCCTCTTATTATTTGAGTGAGCCCAGAATTAATAATCTTTTAGGATTCTAGCCTTAGATTTTTACTTAGGAAAACCTATCTTAAAAAACGAATAAAGGGAGGAAGAGTTCAAATTTTTTTAATGCTGTGATCATATAGGGATGTGTAATTAGTATGGTTTGCATTTCTGTTGAGCAAAACAATAAACATAATAAAAGCTTTTGAAAAAAAATTTTCAACTATCAAGCGTTTGTTTTCTCTTTTCCCTTCTACTTAAGGGCAGGGAGAGGGAAAAAAAACAAAAACAGAAACCTCTTATAACCAATATGCATAGTTGAGCAAAACATTCCCAAATTGGCCACATGCAAAAATGCTTCTCATTTTACATATTTAGTCTATCACTTCTCTGTTAGGAGGTGGATAATTTTCTTCTTCATCTCTGGAATCATGGTTGATTATTGTATTGATCAGACTTTTTAAGTCATGAAAAGCCATTTTTAACAAGGTTGTAAAATCAACAGCAGAGACATTCCCCTTCTTTATATCCCCATTTCACTATATCTGCTTAGAACCTTTGGCAAATTGATGCTTTAAAAATTCTTAATAGAGTGAGGGACCTTAAAGATGAGCTACTTAAACCCATTCATTTTTACAGATAAGGAAAATGAGGCACAGATGGTAAGCGGTCCATAAATGATTCATTTTTTTTATTAATTTATTTTGATTTATCAACAATCACTTCCATAAGCTTTCGAGTTTTAAATTTTTCTCCTCCTCCCTCCCCAAGATGTTGTGCAATCTGATATAGGCTATACGTATACATTCCTATTAAACATATTTTCACATTAGTCATGTTGTAAGGAAGAATTAGGACCAATAGGAGGAACCACAAGAAAGAGGAAACAAAACAAAACAGAAGTAAAAAAACCAGCAAACAGTATGCTTTGATCTGCATTCAAACTCCATAGTTCTTTCTTTGGATGTGCATAGCATTTTCCATCATGAGACTTTTGGAGATGTCTTAGATCCTTGCATTGCTGAGAAGGATAAGTCTATCAAAATTAGTCATCTCTCAACGTGGCTTTTGCTGTGTACAACGTTCTCCTGGTTCTGCTCACTTCCCTCAGCATCAGTCCAAACATAAATGATTCTTTTTTTTTTTTTAAGCAATTGGGGTCAAGCGACTTGCCCAGGGTCATAAATGATTCATTTTTAACAAATAATGCACTTACTGTATTCAGAGAACTGTTCTAGGAAGAGATGCAAAATATTAGATGAGACTTAGTGTCTGCTTTCTTTGCAGTTGAGTATAGTAGGGGAATATTGCAGAATTTCAAGAGTTAGAAGGGCCCTAGAGGCCATGTAGTCCAATCTGTACCTGAACAGAATCCTACAGAATGTCAGACCAGTGATCATTGAGTCTTTGCTTCAGAACCCTGAAGAGGGGAATCACGTAGTCACCGAAGTCTATAGTTGGAAGGGACCTCAGCAGCCATGTAGTCCATTACCTGCCTGAAAAGAAATCATCACTATAATCACCGTAACGAATGGTCATCTAGTCTTGACTTTTTTTTTTTTTTGGACTCGTCCAGGGTCACACAGCTGGTAAGTGTTATGTGTCTGAGGCCGGATTTGAACTAAAGTCTTCCTGACTCCAGGGCCAGTGCTCTATGCACTCGCCATATAGCTGCCCCAGCAACCTATTACTTCTAGAGATCTCTGATTTCAGGAAGGTTTTTTCACATCAGACCGAACTCTTTCTCTGCAACTTCCACCAATTGTTCCTGGTTCCACTCCATACGATCAAACCAAAAAAATCTACTCCTTCTTCTACATAACAGTCCCTTCCAGTGCTTAGAGGACAGGTAAAAGTCTCTCCAACCTCTATGCCAAATATTCTCTTTTCCTTGAGCTGATCCTCTCTGATCATGAGCTTGAGGTCCTGCCCCATCCTGGTCCCAGTCCTTTGAACACATTCACACTTGGCTCTGCCTTTCTTCTACTTCAGATGCATTCAGACCAGGGCAGACCAGAGTGGGGCTGTCACCACTATAGGTTTGGGCACAAGATTTCATTTAATGGAGGTCATTACTCTTAAGATTGCCTTAGTTTTTCGTTGTTTTGTTATTTGGTTCCCATACCACAACATGTTGATTCTTACTGAGCTGGCCACATTTTTATTTGCATTGTCAAGCTAGCCATTGTCCCTGATCCTATAACTGGAGTTAATTTCTTAAATGGAAATATAACATTTTCCATTTGTTCTTACTAAATGTTCTTATTAGATTCCTATTATTTCATCTCTAAAACAAGGTTGGATTTCTTGACCTCTAAGGTCACAAGCTCTTAATACTCTTCCTTTTTTGAATCTGTAGTTCCTGTTTTATACTGCAACATATTATCAATGAAAAACTGTGCAGAAGTAGCATAAAGATTT